TGTTTGTATCTGTTTTTCTTCCTGACAACTGTCTTATCACGTTGTACAGGGTCTTCACATCATTTTGTGCTGCAGCCGTCTATGCATCTGTTTCTATGTTGTCTATAAAGTCTCATTCGTCTGTTCTAGGACTCTTTTTGGCCTGTTTGTTCTTTACGGCATATTCTTCCTGGAGTTGCTGTGTCTGTGTTCTTATTGCTTGATTTAGTTTCAGTTTAATTGTGCATACTGTTTTAGCTTGGTGATGTTATAACATGGGCATCTCTGCTGTTCCAATCTCTTCTTTGTTCTTATTTTTATTCTCAATTTAGCTACCACTAGTGCATGGTCTGTCCCACGTCTGTTCTGTTCCTGCTGTGTATATCTCCTATAGTTCTTCTCTATTTGCACCGAATTGTAATGTGATCAGTTTGGTTCCCTGTTCTATGATCTGGTGACGTCCAAGTTATCTCATGAATCGTATGGTGAAGAAAGGTAGTTCCTCCAGGGACCAAGTCATTCAATCCACAAAAATCTGCAAACATTACACCATTTTCAGTCATTTCACTTAGGACTTGTTTCCCCATAATTACTTCCCTGTCAGTGTTGGTTGCTCCCTCCTTTAGCATTTGTGTCTCCATTTACTAGGAGGACATCTCTTTTCAGGACATTTTCTGTTATATTCTGTAGCTGCTAATAGACATTCTCTTTTTTCCTCTTGGCTAGCTTGATTTGTTGAAGCATAACATTGAATAATGGACACTTTCTGGAACTTTGACGTAAATTATACTGTTATCCTTTCTGAAACTGATGCTCATTCTATCAGGCTTTTGGCTGCCCTCCTGGATATATCAGACCCACACAGTCTCTGTGTATGTTTTGGTAGCCCAGGATTTAGTAGAATGTGTCCAGCTGACAAAGTTATTTGTCCTGTTGTTACCCATTATTCACTTAGACCTCATATATCTAATTTATATCTGTCCATTTCTTTGTTGCTTGGACCGTTTTACCAAGCTCTCATAATGTTCTCACATTCCATGTACCAATTTTAGTTATGGATTTAGGAGAGAGCAAATTCATCAGCAGAGTAGCTTCCTTGCAGGTTTGGCTACTTTGCATCATCATTTGTCTTCTAGGACTATAAGAATTGGGTTGAATTGAACTGAGTTTGCCTAACTGAGAGAAGTGTTTGTTTCCTTAATGACTTTATTTTTTACTAGAGCAAGTCATTGGCCTACTCCCAATCTCCTACCAGGAGGGATGGTGGACTACCTTTAGTCTGGCTCATACCCTTTAACCTGCCTGGCATGGGTGATCCTTCCAGGAATTATGCTCCTGCCAGCATTGATCTCAGGGCTATTGGGGCACGCATGCCTTCCCTCCATGGCAAGGCGCAGTCCCTGGGGAAGGACCTTTAACTCACTTAGTTCTATGTCTAGCTATATGTGGGTGTTATGTGTCCAACCATTTACAGGTGCAAAACTTACTTATATAATATCAGAGGTTGGCTTTTAGCCACCGGAAACTTTTTGGCCCCAAAAATCAACAAGCCACATTATATAAGGCCCTGTAGAAATTAGCTACCAAAGATGCTAGCCCACAGATCCCTCATATACCTCAGGGTTCCAAAGCCACAGTGAGTAAACCTCATTGCTAGGGAGAACACATAGATGCATCCTGAAGTCATTGACCACCTCTGCACATTGCAGCTATTGGCTGGAGCTACTTTTAATATGAACGGGTTTGATGCATAGACATTAGAGCTGGACAGAATGATCTGCTGCTTTGTCAAAGCCATATAAAAAGAATCAGTTTTGATGGGAAGGTTTCTGAAGTTCAGAGACACCAGAGAGAGAGAGAGAGATTAATTGAAAACCTGACTTTTTTGCACTGAAAATGACATTTTGACACAATTCCGTTTAGCAAAACCATTTGAAAAAAATTGTTTTTATTCCAATGTGGAATAAAAACAAATTTTGAAACCTTGAAAGTTGTCATGAAACAGAATTGATGCCATCCAGCCAACTCTAATAGACACGCATACACCTGCATACACAAGTGCTAGTGTGAAAAATATTCATCAAAATAGTGCACATGAAGGGGGACAAATGGATGCCAGGATGAGGCCTCTTCGAAATTCAGGGCTCAATTTTAAGTGCTGAGGGGATACCTATACTAAAGATGCCCTAGCTGGCAGTATATTCATTTTGAATGTAGGAAGCCACACAGGCCTTTTAACATCTTTTGGTTGGAGGTACCTGAAGTTCAGCTAACCTGTTCAGCCTCTCTCCAAATCGTATTTCTGCCAAAGAGAGCTAAAAAAGCAGCTCCACTAACAGAAACCTGTGAACACTTGAGCAGAGCAGAGCAAGCATTCCAACCAGTAGGGGCAGTGGTGTTCAAATCCATTATACTCTCCCTATCTTCACAGGGAATAGCTTGCTAGTTAGACAATTTTTTATGTGGATCATTATTATTATTTTAAATTTGAATCTTGTAGCCACTTCAGGGTAATAAGCCAATTTACTGATATGAGTTGGTTGGTTGGTTGGTTGTTTTTTAATGTGTCCAGAAAATTAAAATAGAATTTATTATTCTGACTACATCTCTATTGCTTTGGCAGCATGCTGTGGGCAAAATGCTCCCTGCAGTTCTATAGCAGAGGCAGGGCCGGTGCAAGGAAGTTTCGCACCCTAGGCAAAACTTCCACCTTGCGCCCCCCTCCAGCCCTGCGGCAGCTCCCCACTCCCCCCTTCGTCCCCTGAGGTGCCCCCCCCCACGGCAGCTCCTCCCCTCCCCCAAGGCACCCCTGCGGCAGCTCCCCATCCCCCTCGGCCTGGGGAGCCAAGCGGCAGCTCCCCACCCCAGCTCACCTCTGCACCTCTGCTCCACCTCCTCCCCGAGCATGCCGCCCCCACTCTAATTCTTCTCCCCTCCCAGGCTTGTGTCACCAAACAGCTGATTGGCACCACAAGCCTGGGAGGTGGGAGAAGTGGAGCAGCAATGGTGCGCTCGGGGAGGGGGCATAGAAGAGGTGAGCTGGGGGGGGAGCCCTGTAGCAGTTCCCCCCGCAGGAGGCACCCCCGTGGCAGCTCCCCACCCCCCCAGCCCGGGGAGCCATGCAGCAGCTCCCCACCCCAGCTCACCTCTGCTCCCCCTCCTCCCCGAGCACGCCGCTCCCGCTCTAATTCTCCTCCCCTCCCAGGCTTGCAGCGCCAAACAGCTGATTGGTTCTGCAAGCCTGGGAGGCGGGAGAAGTGGAGCGGCGACCGCGCGCTCGGGGCGGGGGCGTAAGAACGATGTAAAAAAAAATTGGGGGCACCGCTTTTTGGCACCCCCAAATCTTGGCGTCCTAGGCAACCGCCTAGTTTACCTAAATGGTAGCACCGGCCCTGAGCAGAGGGGCTCTCTCATTTGTCGATCACAGCAGAAAAGCTACATAGAGGGCAGTGCGGCCTCTTCTACATCCACTACAACTCTTCCAATCCTGCAAAAGCCTAACGCTGGTGCTCTGCAAGCTACTGCCCCCACAGCTGAGAGTACAGCTGGAGACTGCTAGATCCCCCTGTTAAAAGCCCATAGTGGAAACCAATTGACCTTACTGGAGAGAGTGTGTAATGATTTACCTAGCTTCCCCCACCATGGTGCAGAAGCCCATCTTTGACAGGTCTTTAGAGGCAGCAGGTGGTCAGTGAAATGGTTCCTGCCAGTGAAGTAGCACAGCTGCTGTAGGAGCTTTGCTCTTCAGGAGCTGCAGGGAAAGAAGGGCACTGGGTAGGAGCAGGGAGACCAGAGGCCTCCACATGGAAGCCTCTTATGTGTGTATCAGACCATGATTTCAATGGTGGAACCACTCAAAAACCAGCAGAAGAATTCCAAGGAAATGCCACAAGTTTAAATTTACAGGGTTTCTACTCCCCTAAATGGGAGTAAAACACACATGGAGGAATGGGGTCCTCTGGCAGCACAATGGATGATTTGGAGAGGAATGAGGATTAGCACTATAATGGTTCACTTGACTTCTCTTTTCTAAATAAAAGCTTTATGCTTTTATTTCACACCAGAAAAACCTACTGAATGTTGGAGTTTAGCAAATCATTCATAACAAATAATTTAATGTTTCCATTAACACATCACAAAAAGGGTGTAAACACCTCACCCTTTGTGTTTTAATTCAAACAAATGTTGACAGAAAATATATCTGCATCGACTCCTAATGATGCCACCATTTAAATAATAATTACAGTACATGCTAATGATCAAATCTGGTGCACCTTTTTAACATATTATTTCTGTGACAATAACATGCCTCATCATCTGCTGAATTTAGAGTGTTGCTTTAAAAAAAAACAATATTTGATCTCACTGTCTGGCTAACAATTAATCCTCTTTCACCACGCACCAAACTATATTAATACCCTGCAAATCTTCAAGGTGTAAGTTACACATGATTTAGTATAAAAGGTAAGCTAGGGGCTTTGCTCTCTCTACAGCTATTACCTGCAAAACAAGTAGAATACATGTGAGTTTTCATCAGTTCTTGAATTAAGGTTTGTTGGTTGGATTTGTGGAGTTTTTTTGAAATTGCAAATTTATGTTTAATTGCCTTTTAAAAAATTGATTATTCCTTACCATTACTATTCCTTAGTTCTAATGTATTTACACTATTTTTTTTCATAAGAGGAAGGTTACCAGGATTCTTTGTAACAAGAATTAAGATATGAGTTATTCATGGAAAATGTCTTGGTGTGCTGCAATCATTTTCTCTCAAAGATTACTGGATATACAGTTCTACTCATTTAACAAAACCAGTCTCCCTTAACAATAATCCTACAACTGTATTTTGCTGAATGTACCGTATGTTTTCAATGTTCCTCAATGTTGCTGAAAAATTGTTCTTGTATTAGCATTTGTGGATAATAGGAAGATATAGGTTTTGTTTTTTTCCACAGAAATCTTATGTTTCAAATAACTCTACATGTTCTTCCAGTATGTCTGAACTGTTTGCATTATACTACAGGATGAAGACAATTAATTGTTACTTGCTATTACTTTGCTGGAAAGCAATTTATGGTAATAGCTGTGAGCTGTCCAATATCACCATAGCAGTGGAGAAGGAGGAGTGCAGGTTCTGCATTAGTGTGAATGCCACTTGGTGCTCTGGATACTGCTTCACAAGGGTGAGAATCTAAGTTGTCAAAATAAAGGACAGGAATTAAATACTCCCCAAAAATGAATATAAACAAGCCAGTCTTCCAGTCTGTAATGAGTAGACTCAGGCAGGGTCCAGTTAAATGTGAAACAGCCTTAAATAACCAATGTGTGTTATGAAGTGGAGCTGTGACTATCACAGCTGTCTTGAAGTACAGAGAGACAGATGAGAAGGTGCTTGCTCTCCTTAAGTTCAGCATTTATTCAGCTGCATACACAGGTTTCCTAACTTTGGATTGTGTAAAAAAAGAAAATCACCCTTTAATTAATTTGGTTTGAAAGTCACTTATCAACTGTCCTTCCTTCTCTGCATACATAAACACTGTGCATCTCATGGAATATGTTGGTTTATATAGTTCCCTTAATTTTAAAAAGACTTTGATTTCTGACATGCATATTCAGGGCCTGCTGAGTGTTCCTTCACAATACTAAGTGCTCCTAACTCCCAACGACATCAGGACACTCAGCAGCCCAAAGGAGTGCTCGGCATTGTGCAGGATTGGGTCTTAAAGAGTCTTTCAGATGCAAGCTGATATGTGAAGGCAAATTCTGCTCTCAGTTACTCTGGCATAGCTCCCATCAATGTCACTGGGAATTGCTTCTGTGTCATTGACAGCAGAATTTGGCCTTAGTGATTATACCTGAGAGCAACTGAGAGTCTACCGCATTTGGTAACAAAATACAAATTCTAAAATGTAAACCTTAGTAAATTCTGTAAGGCAATCCAGTATAAAGTTTGACAAGTATTTTGAGCCAAGAATTAGCATAAATGATTGATTATAAACTATGTATTTGTTTTCTCACAGTAAAGACTCTAACAAATCTTTCTTGTGTTATTCAGTGTAACGGGCATAGGTTTTGAATGTATCATGAACCAGAAATATGGAAAAACATAGATACTAAATATGACCCCAAGCCTTAAAGTTTAGCTCCAGATGGATCTTCCCCTCAGTTTGGAGGATGCTCACATTTGGTGTCCCAATTGGATCCATTACAGAGATGGGACATAATCACAAAGTTTGTGCACCTGAGAAGTTGGTCATATTTTGAGTCCAGTCTAGTGCTCTGCCTTGTGCCAATTTCTATTTAATACAGGGTTGGAAAAGGATATAATCTAGTGGTTGCACTGGAGTTTACATATCCAATCATCACCAGATAGACCTCTGTACCTTTCATATAAAAGTTACTTTGAGTTCTAAAAACAATAATCATTTAGAGTTACACCATAGTTGCATGTATTTACTACATCGGTTCTTTGAAAGGAGAAAACTGGAAGAAGACTTGGTTGTAATTTTAAGCCTAACAAGTCAGTGGGATTCTTTCCACTGAGTTCACTGGGCTTTGGGTCAGATCCTACATGCAGATTCTAGTTTTTACAAACTCTGAGAAATATCAAAGGTCTCAAACTAATTTCAAATCAAATATTTCCTTCCTGTCATTTTCAGGATCCAGTGTATAAGTACCCCCCGGTATCATCAGTTCAGCAAACCTGTACTTTCAAGGAGCTTGTTTATGAAACAGTGAAGATCCCTGGCTGTGCTGACCATGCTGAATCTTTTTATTCATACCCAGTGGCTACCGAGTGCCATTGTGAGTCATGTGATACGGACAACACTGACTGCACTGTGAGAGGCTTAGGACCAAGCTACTGCTCCTTCAACCAAAACTAAAGCAAAGAATAAGGAGTACTGGAGATGTTAGTTTAGTTTTGGTTTTCTGTTTTAAATATGTAAATGTATTGTATCAAAATGGTACAAAGAGGGTGGGACAGCAAACAAAGAAATTTACATACAGCCAAGTTTAAAACAATTATATTAGCAATATATCAAATGGAGAGCTACATCTTATATTTGTCTTCAGTGGCTTCCTCTCACATTACAAATCAAGGTCAGTTTCCTTGTGATCAACCTCATGGCCCTTCTGACATTTTTGCCCTTATCTCAGCCAACATTCCCTTCCATTCTCTACACGCCTCCATTCTGTCTCCCCTCATGGCTCCATTTGTCTCCTGCTGCTCTCAGCTTCACATCTTATTCCATGCCATCCCTTTTGCTTCGAACAGCTTCCTACCAACCATGCACCAAGCAGCTTTTATCCCCTCATTCCATTCCCCCTTAGAACACATTTATTTTTAAAAGCCTTCCATCATTGATCGCCTTCTCAGCAGTGTCTGCACACCTATTTTTTCACTGTTATCCTGTATATCTTAATTACCTAAGTTAGACTATAAGCCTCTCTGGGCAGAGACCTTCATTTTTAATATGTGTTGTAAAGCATCATGTAAATGTAAAGATATTAATAGCTTGCTCATTATAGGGATCTAGAAACAAAGACCAAGAGTAATATTTGCAGGTGGGTCTTGGGGTAGGTCCACATAGCAATTAAACACCTGCGGCTGGCCCTGGTCAGCTGACTTGGGCTCAGGCTGCAGAGCTGTAAAACTCCTGTGTAGATGTTCAGGTTTGGGCTGGAATCCAAGTTCTGGGACCCTGCAAGGTGGGAGGGTCCCAGAACATGGGCTCCAACCCAAGCCCAAATGTCTACACCACAATTAAACAGCCCCATAGCCTGAGCCCTGCGAACCTGCATCAGCTGTCTTGGGTCAGCCACAGGTGTTTAACTGCAGTATAGACATACCCTTAATGACTTAGGAGCCTATGTCCCATTCTAAAAAGTGAAAGTCAATTGAAAGTCAATGAGAATTAGGCTCCTAAGTCACTTTTGAAAATGGGACTTCAGCTCCTCAGTCACTTAGTTGCTTTTGAAAATTTTACCTCAGATCTTTTCAGAGTCATCATATTTCCCCTTCGTTGTGGAATTCTACACAAGAATGAGGGATCTTTCTAACCTAGACCCCAATCCTGCAAAGACACACTGCTTAAATTTAGACACAGTATGTATAGTTATTCACATATATATGTAGGATCGGGACCTAGGTTGTCAAGATCCCTTATTCTTTCATACAGTTCCACACAGTTAATGTGATGGTAAATTTTTAGATCTTTACAACAGTTTCATATTCAACAATTGTCTTTTTTGCAGTGATGGCATTAGTTTAGTATTTATTCTATATGGTATATTCCTCAGACTAGTAGAGAAAATGTTTAGTCCATTGTATGTACCAATGGATATTAATGCTTAAGGTTATTATGCATTTAATTATCTAGGGGAGATTGTCTGTTAATAGGGAAATCTCTCTTATCCATAGTATTTAATTTATTTAATTTCTAAGACTTTTTTTACTGGAAAAAAATAGTTCTCATCACAATTTTGTTTGTGAGATGTCATTTTAGAGGTCTTTATTGCTCTACTGAAGTTATAAGAGACAGAACAATGATATGTATATTGAACCTGATTCTCTTTTTGCTTAGACCAGTTTTATACTAGAATAACTCCATTGATGTCAGTAGAGCTACTCCTGATTTGCATTGGTGTGAGATCAGAATCAAGGTTATTACTCATATTCGGCCCCAAACCACCACTCCTTAGTCAGGCAAGGGAATTTTAACTGAATAAGTATTGCAAGATCAGGTCTTTATTTGCAGAGAGAGAGAGAATAAATGTGCCTTCAAAAGTGCTTCTGTAAATTCTATCTGTGCTTGTTTATGACTCTTGGAATATTAAAAAGGATTTTGTTGCATTTGCATCATTTTATTCTTTTGTAATGGTCTTATTGAAAAAGTTACAATCCATCAACATAGTATTCTTCAAATCATTATTTTTTTTCTTGATCTCATAATTGACGTTGCAATATCTCATTAGTAATTTGCTAATCTAAACTGTGTTTGCATCATCTCAGTATTGGGCCAGATGGGATCCCACAAGCTATTGTAAAAACACAGATACATTTTGTCCAATAGAGGGCAGTGGTACATTATGTAATTTTGATTAAGTGGGCCAGAGACTCAAAATCAGGATTATAATGAAAGTCTTGAAGTTTAAAGTTTAAAACAGAAAATGAAGATTACCAAGGTGAAACAACACTAGGGTTAACATCATAAATCTGACATAAAAAGCCATGATTGTTAATAACTGCCCGCTGTCACAACTTCACTTTACATCTGATCTGCAGTTCCCTATACCTGGGCTTTGCTTAGTAAAGACTGAGGGGAAGAGCACCTCCCACTCAATTACCACATCATTTCAGGCAGCACTGTCCCCCCACATTCCTCTTAAGTTGTGAGATCCAACAGACTCTCTTACAGGACATTTTGGGACAGCACTTGTAAAACATGTTTTTAAAAGGGTAGAGATTTACACAGTGCCACACAACAATGCTTATGTTTGTCAGTACTAGAGCTGTGGAAATGAAGCATAATAAATAATTTATTTGTTGAATTTACCATCTTTTTCTGTTTGTGACTTGCCCATGAGCAGCTTATTAGTTCATTAGCATGTTCACATAGGGCTAAAGTCTCAGCTATGCAGAGAGCCAGCACAAGGCTTGTGCATTACCCCTCCTAAGGTTTTCCATTGACTTCACCGAGTTTTGCATCATGGTCTTATACGGAATCTAAATGGTGCATAGGCCTTGAGCTGGCTCTCTACACTGGGATGAATGTTACCCCCCAAACATTTCTTTGACTACTACTTCTTCTGTACATTGTTCACCAGCAAGTCATTGCCAGTAGTGGATCTTCAGAGTTCCACTTCTGCTGGCTTGTTTTGATTGGACACATACTGCAGGTAACATGCTATAGCTTTTATTCTCCATAGTTTTTAAGACCAGCAGAACGCATTATATCACTTAGTCTGACCTCCTATATATCACAGGCCATAGAATTTCACCCAGTCAGCACTGCATTGAGCCCAATAGCTTGCATTGACTAAATCATATCTTCCAGAAAGTCATCCAGATGTCAAAGGATGGAGACTTAGTAGTTTGGTCTGTTGGACACTCAGTTTGAATATTCAGAATTTGCTTTTCACATTATGTCCAGTGTGTTTAAAACTGGCTGTTACTTGAATATCCTTGCCACTAATCTGTTACTCAGATGTCCGCAGGTAGTAAACTTCAATGGGGGTACTGTGATGGGGCTGAACCCCAATCACCTGCAAAACAAGGATAAGAATCCCAATTAGTTATGCTCGGCACATGGGTGATAATTAATTAATTGCCTCCTGGACTAAGGCAGTGGACCTAGCCCTTATAAGTAGACTGGGGGAGTTCAGCTGGGCAGAAGCCCTGGGGTAAGGTTTAACAGACAGGAAACCATGGAGAAAGAACTCTACAGGAGCTGTATCATCCCCTGCTGGTAAAGCTCTGAGGTAGGCCCAACAAGGGAACTACAGTGGTCTGTGAGTGGTGTAAAAGGGGGATTATTTTGAAGATTTGTTTGGATTTTTATGTGGACTCATTTGTATTACCCTAAAAGGAGGTTAGGCTTTCATGTGACTTAGCTGGAGGACTAAGCCACAGAACGCCCAGAAGGAGAGTCAGGAGAAGATGAAGGTTGGGAAGGGCTATATTGTAGGGCTGAGGGAAAGCATGGTAGTGGGTGCTAGAGACAAGGATCCCATGTAATGCTTCAACCAGAGATGGGGGTGTGCCTATGAGGTGAGGCTGCACTACTACAAGCATGAACACCAATGAGTTATGAGGTCCAAAATTACTTCAATTTATTATTTGAGCAAATCTTTGAAGTACTTGCCCAGCTCTAGCTATTATGGTAACTAGATACAACACTTCTCAATAGGTTGAAGTCTCACCTGAAGCACTGGTGAGACTCAACATTGTCAGTAAATGGGATAAAAGTTTGGAGACATGTTACTAGTAGAACAAAAGTAGGATTTCCAAAAGTTTTCAATGTTGGTGTAACTTTACTCCTATCGAAGTCAATGATCCACTGACTTTAACAGAGTAGAGTCCTTCTAGGAGGGATTGCATGTAAGAATCCCTCATAAAATTATCATTTTAAAGGTGAGCTCTGCAGAAGGACTATGCAACTTGTCACCTTTTGTGTCCAACTTCACTAAGTTTGACAAACAAACATTTTGGAGAAGCAAGTAGCTAGTACACAGCTGGTAACATTACAAGCTCTAATGAATTGTATTGCTCAAATACTGAAAATAGCTGCTATCTTCCCTCCTGTAATATCTAATAAGGTCCAAACAGCAAAAAATGTTAGTCTTCTGCCTCAACAAGACAGCAAGCAGGAGATCTGGGAAATCATCTTCCGTAGTTTGTGTGTGCTTATGTAGCATGGAGGTTGTGTCATTTAAGCT